CAACCGCCATAGTTTCGCAATTCTGATGCATTTTTAATAAACAAATAAATATAATGGTTTATTCCGTATCTCTTTCGCAGTTTAATACCTGCGGTAGACCCGCGAATAAACGCATATCTGTCGTGAGACGGTCGCATAAAGAATCGCATTTATCAGACCATTTCTATCACAAATTTTTAATAATTGTTTAATAATAATTAATTGTTTTATACTCTTACACAAAAAGGGGTCTGCGAATATCCTGCGGTGGACCAGCGAATGAACTGTGCGACGTTTGTTTGTCGCAATTATGTGTGTCGCAAAATAGAAAATTTACAAAAAACAATATTTGTTTAAAAAAATTCTTCGATTATACTACGAATGTTGTGCGGTTTGTATGTGAAGTTGTTTCGACTAATTGTCACAGGTTCATTAGCCTAAACTGTTTAGAATTTTTAAAAAATAGAAATTCTAAAAAAAAACCTTATTATGCACCAACTAGGCGAATAATACGCGACGTTTGTATTTCGCAGAATAGAAAATTTGCAAAAACAAATTTTAAAAAATATATATATATTCTTCGATTTTAGTACGAGTGATATGCGTTTGTTGTGCGGAATATTTTCGACTAATTGTCGCAGGTTCATTAGCCTAAACGGTTTGAATTTTCCAAAATTAAATTCTGAAAAAAAAAACTTATTATGCACCAACTAGACGAATAATATGCGAAGAATGTATTTCGCAGAATAAAAGATCGAACAGAAATCCCTACACTACTGCTTTTACAGTCGCTTCAACCCCAGCTGAATTTCGTAGAATAAAAGATTGAACAGAAATCCCTACACTACTGCTTTTACAGTCGCTTCAACCACAGCCGACGAGCAACAGAGCAGTCAAACTTCAGAAAGAAGAGCCGTGGGCCGAGCTTGTTTGTGGAGTTCCAGGTAAAACTCCAGCAAGAGCTTGGCCCCTCCCACCACGCTCTCAAGTGATGGGCGCAGACGGGTTCGGGGAAGAGATCCCCGTCGACCAAACACCTTCCTCTGTCGGGCCAGCATTGCCTATGACAAGTTGCCGGGCCGTTACGCCCCGAACGCCGACGAGCGCCGTTCCAACCTTCAACCTTCTCACAGTTGATCCGGCAATACCTGGGCCTGGAGGTTTGATCTTCATCATCGTCGCTGTCTCGGCATATGTTTCCTCCGGGGCCACGTTAATAAAGTTAGATAGCGGAATTTCCGGTCGTTGAGTTTTTTCATCATACAAATTCGAAAGGTAAGGAGTTCTCAACTCGGACACAGTCGTAATGAATAGACACACTGGTCGAACGAAATAATTTTTGTAATTCTGGTTTATCTCCGGCAAAATGCTTCTCATATACAAGAGAAGGGAAAAACGGAGGGCCATTACTAACGACTTCTGGGGGCCGGAGGGGAAGAAAGAGAAGGGGCATGAGATAAGGATTGAAGATTACACGCTTTATGTAGACGGAGGAAACGACGTTTCGAAAAGCAGAAAAGACACCTCGAAATTTTGTATGTCGAGAATATTGAATTTCAACAAAAAAAAAAAAATCGAGTAGAAGTGCGAATGGGGTATACGAGCAATATGCTAAAATTCGCATAACTGAAAGATGAAAGAAAAAGAAAAATAGAAGTTTCGAGAGAAGTGCGAAGGAGGTATGCGAGCAATATGCGGCAATTTGCATACCTCCTCACATAACAGAAAGATGAAAGAAATAAAAAAGAAAAAAAAAAACTTTCGCGTAGAAGTGCAAATGGGATATGAGTATAAATAAACTTTCTTGTAGAAATGCGAAGGGGGTATGCA